ACAAAAATTCCGTAGTTCATAATGTGAATACCGTGCTGCAAGTTGATAAATGATATGCATGATTTGTGGATTCGTCTGATCAGTCGAAGGACCGTGGGCGATCAGAGTGGTATGGCGGTTATTCTTTCTGCTCTTCTACGCGCGTGTGTAAGCAGTGGTTTAGTCTGACCGGTTTTTTGGATTTTAACGGCGATGTGGTTGTGGTGTTAGCCCCCCGGCCTGCCAATCATTGCACGTCACATCACCAGAATAGCAGGGGAGCTGAATTTTACTCACGCGAACAGTTCAATGGATTCAGAAGGGACGGTTGGTCGCTTCCAACCTAGTGGACTGTAGGACGAACCAGATGGCTATCACCGAAGTGGTGAATTTTGTGGCTGTTCGATCCTAAAAGTCTCACTGTTTTTCTTTTCGAATAACTAATCCATCGTTCTCGTTTGTTTGCGATCACTGGACTGTATGTTGCGAAATTGCACGTGAAGTTTACTAGCATGCATGTGTTCATTTTAAAAGCTGCGTTCCAGATTCTGTTTACGTTTGGCACAGATCTCATAATCCAGTTTCGGTTCCCAAACCAAATTCCGATAATTGCATCACATTCACATTTTACAGTGTGAAAATGGTTGAAAGTTCGATCTCTGTGTGATTAAAGAAAATTGCTACAAAAAACTCATATTTCGATCACAGAAATATGAGCAAAAAAGCAATACGGTTTTGCATCCCTCCTTACTCGTCCTCGTTGTTTTCATCTTGCATCTTTGTAAAGCATTATTTCCAACAATTGGCTCGATAGGTGGGATCAAGTTTCAACTTGAAAACAATCACCACACTGAAGGTCATATTTACAAGAGACTTTTATACCTCCACATAACATTCGAACTATGAGTTACCCATCCTCCAAAATAAAGAAACACTTGCACATCTTGTATAATTCCTTTTTCCCCAGTTCTTAGTTAAGTGAACGCGGATCACGTTTTTTATCAATTCTGGTAACACGGTTACTCAAACTATATAAGGTTCCTTAGTTATGGTGAAATTTGAATCTAATGTCACCTGCATTCCGTTTAGTTGAATAACATTTGCTACCTTCCAGAAGCTGTAAACTTTACGCGCGTGACGTCCTATCGTTTTTGAAGCTGGCTATATCCTGGTCGGGGCATAAGTCATTGAACTTTATTGCATACATATTGGTATTGTAAATGGACTGTGAATTGCGTTTGTGTGTGTGTGTGTGTGTGTGTGTGTGTGTGTGTGTGTGTGGATGAAACCCTGATTGCTATATTGTCATATTTCAGCTTTCTCCGACAACTGCAGTAAATGATGATGTTCTTCATTCTGGCCACATCCCCGACACAATTGCACACG